ATGTCGACTGCGTGACATAGCGATCCTGGCCGCTGGAATTTTAGGAAGCACATTTAGTTTCGGACGCGTCTGATGCAGCCGCCGAGTTTCGCCCATTTTCCCACGCGCGAAAATGCTAATATTTATACACACGGCTGCCATAAAACTAGACGTGCTTTTTGGCACGATGCTATCCAAATACGTAATTTACGAGCAGTTCGTGGCAACAGCGACATAAATGGTGAAATGCAAGGATTTAGTTTAAACGTTAATACGCGGCACCATGTTCGCGCACCTGTCGTATTTTTTCCAGCCCAGAGTTACTCGATTAGCCTGAATTTTGCAGTGAGAGCTAGTAAAATTTTAAACAAAATTAAATTAACTTATTTTAATAAACTACATAATGCTATTAATTTTTAATATTGTTACTTTATATCCATTAATTTGGATGCAATAAGAGAAATAGAATAGTGTATATCGTAACTGTATTAGTGTCTAAAATTTGTTAATTTGAAAAGTATTTTTGTCAAGTGAAAAATTTATAAGAAGGTTCTGTTTTCGAATTAACATTGTAATTCTATCAAGTGGTGATTTTGTTTTATTATTTTATTATTTTCACCACGGTTTACGCAGTGTAATGATTGTTTTGCTCTACGAAAGTAATTTACAAAAAATAATTTAGCGCAGATATTCTTGAACCTTCTCTAAAACTTGAACCTTCTCTAAAAGTTTTCCTCTTCTCTAAAACTTTTATAATTCTGACCTTTTTAGCTTTTTCCTATCTCTGGTCTTTCGTCTCTAAATAATATACAAGTCAGCGTAATTTTTATCCTGATTTAGACAATTTGGTACTGCATTTACAATCGCCGATCTTACTTTCTTCTTCGCGCGATACATCGGTTACATAAAACAATTCCAAGATCTTCGTAATGTACACGCTCGCAGAAGCGTAAACATCGCGCTTTGTTATCTCGAAATCAGTCGAGCTGCCAGCAATCCAAACTGTTCAATCCGTGCATTGTTCTTCTAGTTCAAAGATGTTCTCGAGGTATGAAACAAAACGCAGAGCTACGGTCAGACTACGGTTAGGGGTATCTTGTAACGATTAAAAAAACCTAGTATATGATTTTGTGATAGGATTTTGCAGTATCCGGCACATATGTATATTGTGTATATGTATTTGAACGCTGCAACAATTTCAAGACAGATCGTTTCCTCTCCTTTCTTGTTATCGAGAAATATAGTTCGCTGGAGATACTACGCCGACGGATCCATGCTCATTCTATCCCGTTGTCCTCTCAACCTTTGAGATATCCTCTCGAAGGCTACTTGCTCCCCTCGAGCAAAATCCATGAAATCTCGCTCAATCCCAATGCACAATTTTCTGCTTCGATATTTTCCGGCATACAGAGCACGTATGTTTCCTCCGGTTCCTCTCCTTGTGTAATATGTGCGCATATACTTGCAGGCGTATGCCTATGTATACGTGCAAGCGTGTCCAGGCGCAATCGAGCGAGTGGAAACGCCGAGGAACGGAAGGACGAATGAGCGAGGGAAAATTGTAGACTCAATGGGGTTGATGACCCTTGCTCGGCAAAGCGACTGCCGTCAGCTCTTTCATGATCGGAATAGTTTTTGCCGACTGAATAATTTAAAAGCTTAGTCTTTTTAGGATTTATTTTGGACAATCTATAAGTCGCAGCAGAATTCCATTTACGATTTTATTATAACAACACTGAAGAATTAATCGTTTATACAAAATTAAAACGGAAGCATTACGAAAGACGCGTATATTTGTCTGCGCTTCATGTCGCTGCTATGCGCATAAAGCGACAAGTATCATTATCGCGCGTCTCTCTTCCTTACTGTTTAATTAGTAAAATGTACATAAACATGACACAATCGATCATACTGACATAATGCTTAACGGGGGTGTAACGCGATGCGTGCAAAATATGAATATTAACTTAACGAGGCCAGATGTTGGTCCATAAATCAACGTACTTCATAATCTATACGGACCCTCCAAATGCATAAACCGTATAACGAGCCGTTGCGTCGTACCGTATATTAAATATATTAATGGTGGTATTAACACGGGGCGTGAAAATAATTTATGATACCGCGAATGTCAAACTCTGGAGCGCGTGCCAAATTTTTAACAGTGGAGGCACATGACGTAAAGCGCGCCAGACATAAATATGACGCACCACGGGCTCTTCGTCACGGCATCGTTTTGAAAACACAATTAAAAAGAAAAATATAAATTTTCCAAATATGGAACCATTTCAGATCCGCGCATTTCCTGCTATTAAATTTACCGCGAATATAAAAAGATATCGTTACCTTTTTAAAAAGGTAGAGGAAGTTGTTGAATAATAATAGAATGTTAAACAATGAAGAATTGAATAATAATAGAATTTTATAATTTCACGCGACGATTATAAAACACATTCTTTCGCTGTGTCACTTGGCGAGGTCAATTAAACCTTTTGAACGGAGATTCAGCCGCAAAAGGAGACCGCATGCTTGGGCAGGGATGGGCATTTTAACCAATGAATTTCCACATGATTTCGAAATCTGCGGGCATCTCGGTGACTGAGCACCGAGTCTATTGAAATAATTGATCTATAGGTGAACTAATTACTAGGTATGGCGCTTGAACCGCTGTTTACATTAGCGATGGTACAACAGTACGAAGCCGCGAAGCCTGAGGTTGTATATGTGCACGCATAACGTCGAATCGTGGAGAGCCTCGCGAATCTATGTGAATGTTTCGCGTAATTAGGATGGCTGTCGTACGTATACATGTACCTCAATATGTCGTGATTAATAGACATGTAAATAGCCGCAACCCTCAGCTATTTCCTCTCTATCTTGCAAAGGATGAATTTCCTATTATAATAGTTTCCTCTCTTGTGCCAAATTATTACCAACTATTCACAAGATGATTTATATGATAATTATAGTACGCTGTGAAGATGATTTATTGAGCTTTTATTTTTCATTTCAATTTGTTGTCCCTTGTTTCGGTTTATTTTAAAATTCTGAGTATCGTACATTAGAATTGAACACGGCTAAACAACGATTACTACTATTCAAATCAGTGTTTAATGATTATAATTATGTAATAAACCATCACGAGCCCAATGAATAGAGTATATGAATAATAGAAATATTCATATTTGGTTATTCCTATGATTTATTAATCATTATTTGATGAACGTGATTACATAATGATTACACAATTAATAATTGCTTTACAAAGCATGTTTACATTAATAGTTAATTACTATAATGTAATTACAAAAATGACCAATTACCATATTGAGACAAATTTAATTTACTCGTTTAGAAATGGCGTTCAAGAAAGGAATTGTAACTCGTCATTTAAAGTAAAAATTTCCATTCCATTCCACTCGCACGATACTCGACTGAATAATTATTCCCCAAAAAATTATGCTGTAAAAATCACGCGTTGTCATGATTATGCGATAAGACTCGATGCAACGATGTACAATCAACCGCAGATGTTGTCAAGAAGAGAAACGGGCGAAAAAATGTGAGGCTATCGGATTTTTACTTGACGCCTTTGCAGAATAAATTCGAATCCTTTTTGGAAGCACGCGCGCGTCGCGTGTCCGGGAAAACCGTCTGTACACATGTGTCCATGGAGGAAAACATACGTGACTCGTATACAGATTACATGACGTTTCGTACGATTTTCTCGTATCAAGCGAAAACTTGAAACTTCTCTTTGTCGAAAAAATTCCAGCTCGTTGCGTTAAACATTTTTCGGTGAAATTGACATAAAACACGAAATTAGAGTCTTTCGATATAAATTATATAAAATATAATTTCTGCAATTGATACGTTTTTATAATTCAGATATATAATACATTATCTCACCCTCTCTCTCAAAATTCTAATTCGAGCTTAACCGCTTTAATTGGATGTCTCGTGTTACAATTATAAAAGTTATAAAATTCTAATTGTAAAAAAATTGTAATACATTTTCGTTTACAATGGCAAAAAGGCTATTGTGGGAAATTCGGAAATATTACACTGATTGAAATCTTCGCGGAGGAATGGACGAAAGAACGTAGGAAACATGAGAGAGAACACGCAAAAGAAGCTCGCTCGCGTATTCGGCCATACGGAATAAATTCCCGCTCGAATCACAAAGGTTTTTCAGGGAAAATGCCGACGGGAAATATTGCGGTGAAAAGTGCGACGCGCTACTGTCTCTTGGGTATTTAGTCCGCGACGGTAACCTTCGGGGAATGTGGCTTTTACCACTTCACAAAGCAACAGAAATCATTATCATAAGATATTACGTTTGGGATTTAGGGTGACAACGGGTCGGAAAAAAAGAAAAAGTCAAATGCAAACTGGAAATGTCGAACTATATTACGCGCAGTTTGTCGCACATTAATATCTCAATCAAATAAAATACTTCTTAAGATTCATTGAATACATGAACTCCTCTTTTCGACATGAGTTTCTTACTGCATCGTTACAAGTTATGCAAAGTGTAATACAAACAGTTGTAAATAAATGAATACGCAATCCATATAATCAGCGATAGTCCATTGCTGTATTGTTTAATATCAAATTCGTGGCCGTAAAGAAGTTTTCCCACAAATTTCGATGTTATTTATGACGGTTTTCAATTTTCAACGTTATATGCCTCGGTAATTTAGTTCCAGGTTAAAATTACGTTAAAGTAATTGACTACTTGTGAAATCGACTGAAAAGTATAATTCCGTTATCGACGAAGCTTTACAAGAGATTTATTATTTTTTATTTATCAATTATCAATACCGGCGTATTAAACAACGATTCGGTTATCAAGTATTGATGTTAATGACGATGAAAAATCGCCATTTATCAGTGAATTCGTCGTTCCATTTATTTGCAATCTATCTACAATATAATCGTATTACGGATTTTGCGCGATCTAATAACACGCAGGTGGATACCAATAATATGTTTATATTTGTTGTATTGGCTGTTTCAAGTCATGGTACGACTACAAGCTACGATGGGAGCCGAAGGAGTACGGTGGAGTTCACATGTTACACGTGCCGTCCGATCACATATGGCGGCCCGACATAGTCCTCTACAACAAGTGAGTTCATCAGCTGCGTCTTGTTACGGATTTTGATTATTATGGATACACATTGATCTGGTATATATCGTAGTGGCACAGCATGCTGCCGAGAGAGAAAGAGAGGGAGAGAGAGAGTGGGAGAGAAAGAGAGGGAGAGAGAGAGAGAGAGAGACGAAGAGACACTGGGGGTCGAGCGAGCACACGTTTAACACACATGGTTGTTTTGTGTGTCGATGCAAATTATCACTGATATCAAAATATCGAGCACGTGTTTATTTTTGTTCATTGCACGCGTTATGACAATCCGCGATATTAATCGCACGGCGACTCTAATTAAATTACATAGGGTACGTTATTTTATTTGAGATAAAATGTGATGAAAAAATTACGGTTTATAACGAGATTTGTAATTACTTGATTTAACTGAATTTATTATAGTTCAGATCAATTTCGAGAATCGACGCAACTGCGATTTATCATTTCCAACGGTTGTCAATTATTGAAATTAGATCGACGAACTTGTTCTTCTTGAATCGCTCTAGAGACTGGAATTAGCGTCCTACAACACGGGTGTATTTATTTTCAAATTGTTTTACGCGCGGAGTAATTTTGCACTAGCAGTTAATGTAAATTAATTTAAATACACGCGGTGAATCGACAGTGCATGTGCGTACCGGTATGTATAACTGTTTGCGATGAATAATGAAACCGAACGAAAAACGAGTGTCCACTCGACCTCGACAAGAGAGGTACCATTGTCGTGCATATTGCATTTCAAAGTAGGACGGTATATTCGATGCGGGCGGTACATCTCACGCCGCGGCATCGTTTCGAAAGTTACGGAAAAATGTGAGGCAGTTCGATCGGTGGCGATTTTAAGGAAGCTCGTGAATCCGAAAATGTATCTTGAAAGTGAATCTCAATCGGATAGTTAACAGTGTGAGAAAAATCACTTTACGCACGCGTGTTATTTATTTAGCATCAATCGACGTGAAATCGTTTACACGTCAGAAGGAACGACAGTTATGCTACGATATGACGTGGCATAAGACAACCGCGTGCAAAATGCTTACGGAAAACCCTTGCCGTTTTTGTTATAAAGAAATAGCTAAATTAAAATTACTTGACATACGTTTACAATAAATGTATTGCAAGAAAACTATAATAATAGCACTGTTTTAATGCAGTGTACAGATACATGATTTACAAGAAACATTTAGAAGCAAAAATCTTTTTATTAAACTAATTTTAGTAACGAACGGATGTTCCTTATTAATAAATTTATGCTCGTTGAGTTGCAAATAAAATGTGCTAAAATAGCACATTATAATATACAGAGCTTCGTCAATAATTCTACGAATGATTTCGAAGTATTTCGGTGGAGTTATAAATATTTTGATGCATGCAATAAATGTGAGAGCGAAAGACGAAAATTTATGATGATATAGTAATATGGCGAAATACATCAAGGAATTTCTATCTCAAAGATTTCGACGACTCACGTGCTTCCTCGATCTATTGCCGAGTGGCCGTTGAATAAAACATGCGCCGAACGTTCTGCTACTACGAGCAATAACATTATTTATTGCGCAATAAATCGTCCCGAGAGAATTTTTACCGCGATAATTGAGACACTTCCGGCGCTCTTACGAGCAGAACGTTTGGCACGCAGAATTGGCCCTGCAAACTGCGAAGAGTTAAAGCCGCGAAATTGCGCATCCTCGCTTGTAATTACATACCGGGCCCTCAACATTCCCCACCGACATTGTCTACACATATTTGCGTAACTTTTGCCGCTCTTGTCGCCTAACGAACGAGAGCTAACTCTACGCGAGCTTTTTCGCCAGATTGCCATGGAATTTGTAATTGGACGTACATTACTTTGCAATTAACACTTTGAACCGCTCTTTTATCGCGAGTGTCAAGGAATGTAAAGGAACGAATCATGAAATGTCGACGTTCGGGGACGTTAAAGAGATTGAAATGATATGATCTCGATGTTGCAAGGTACATTACAATATTACTTAGAGTTGGCCGTCCTATATTATTACAATAAAATGCGATTATCGATTGAGATGTCGAGAAATCGCGTTGTTCGATTACAAATCCTGCGTTGGCTCACGCTCGTGTCAGGCATGCGCGAGCGATGTAGTCATTCCATAGATTATTATTCATATCGCATGAAACATGGGCGCTGCGGCGAAACGTTTGCGCGAACGGGGCCCCTGATAAACGGTGCGTCACGACCGTAGGGAATCGCGAAGGAATGTCATGTGTTGAACAGCCTTAATTCTCTCGTCAAAGAAACGATCGATCGCAAATTTACAATTTTACATGGATTTATTCGATGAATCGAGAAACGCGATTGCAGGCGATTACTGCAAAAAGCAATTCCCGATTATCTCTCGATACTAAACGAAGAAAAATATTCAACGGAGGTTCTTGCCCGTTCGTCAAAGTCACCGTAAAATTGCACGCGGACAATGAATTGATATCCCGTTAATTTGCCCAATTTATAAATAAATTTCTCGCACCTGTAAATATTTCAACAATAGTTGACAGTGCATACGTGACGAGATTTTGTAAAATTTAGGAATGAGGTAAAAATTTCCTATTCATATTGCTCTATTGCTTCCTATTCTATTGCTTATAATCTGTTTCTCTTAATATGCGTAGTTTTGCGACGTGTCCTACATTTTTCTCGCTCATCTCTTTCTTTTATATGAAACACTGTTAACGATAATAACAGTTGGTGATTCTCAAACTGGAAAAAACAACGGTATTATTGCATATCCAATGCGATTTTATTAAATAGCTATTTGTATTATCTTGACACACGTTCACATAAAAACAAACCGTTGAAATTGACAGGCTCTAATTTCGATTAAAACGGGACGATAGTGAGCAAATTCTAATACTAATCGAAAGTTTGATTGCACCGGCGAAGTATTCGCAGAATTTAATAATAGAAAGTTCGCACGCTATATGCCACCAGAGCATTCGATGTAAAGCTAAATATTCAATGAGTATCTCTGTTTTTGAAAGAGATAACGGTTTTCACACTTTCTCACTATTATATACCGGAAAAAATTGCAAGGAAAGAGTTGTATCGATTAAATAATTTACTCAGCATTTAATATCGGTTTTAGACCATTAATAATTCCCGTAAAATCCTGCACTTTTCCGTATGCGAGGTGAACGCATCGCCGGTATCGAATCTACATACCATATATATAGATCGTGAATATTAAGCACCATGGATATGAAGCGGAAAGTAAACGTTGTCCGTACCTACTCACAGAATATTTCAAATATCGCAGCGTTCAGACGCGCATTTGTTTCCGAAATACCGCTATTTAAAGAGAAAGAAAATTAATAACTCGTCGCGTAACATTCAATAAGTGTCGTTTGCCCGAGAAACAATCAAATTTCAACTAACGATGCATTTTACCCTGTCGAAATTCCTAATATATAATACATGTGAACTTTTAAACGTTTTTCTTTAAAGAAAATTGTATTGACGTTAATAATATTTTAATAAGGGGAGAGAAATTTCTCATCACGACGATGTCGCTTCCGTTTCTTATTAGTATAAAAATATTTGTTCTATTAATGAATCGAAGGATAAAAATTTTTTTCTCGGTAATAGGGTCGTTTAATAAAAGCATAGTCTACGTCCCAATAATAATCGAAAGACATTTTCTTCCATGAATGCAATTAGTTGGCTGATTATTTTACGTTTACTTGCTGCGGCGTCTTCGAGCGTTAAAAATGACGGATAAAAAAAGAATTCAATAGAAATTATAAAATGACATGCCGTACAGTTGACATTTTACATTTGATTTTCTGCTTTCGATTTCATTTATTTAATATAGTAATCGTTTAAACCAATAAAACACACATTTAAATAACCTAGAATTAATTGGATAAATTATAATGCAATGCAAGCAATGTGACACACAGTTAAAATATGTGATAATTTCTGTGTATGTCAGAAACATTATTTTGTACTGACACATAAATTACAGAAGAAATTTTATATATGAACGATAATTGTCATGCCAACTTTTGTGCAAACAGTTACGGTTGCTTTTCTGTGCATGGTTAATTTACGTCTTGCTCCCGGGAAAAAGAATGTCCTATGGTCCATGAACTATTCTCACAGCAACCACTCAACTCGGCGGCCCGCAATTTATTGGGGGCGCCGTCAGAAAGTGAGTTCCGGATAGATATCGACTTAAAAAATGGACGAGAGCGTAACGCGTTCTTTCGGAAACGACACACCTTTCTACGTGAATTCTTTCTAAGCTATGGTTTACGAGTGATCTGGATAAGGTATCAACGTACACGTTATATATTTCGGCCGGGGAGATTGAAATTTTCGCAGGTTTAAATTTAACCGGCGAGACTCGCGTTATCTCTCGTGTCCACGTTCTCGGTGAGAAACGTTTTCAAAAATTGAAACGCGGAGATACGCGGTAAATTGACGACTTGATATAAACTTGATATAAAAGAGGTCGTATAAGTGTGCCGTGCTCTCGGGAAAATCATTTTTCGTTGAAAAAGTCTTTGTGTTCGCGCGCCGAGGTCAATGGCATTGTAAAATCTTACAGGTGCTAGTTACGGGGGACATTTATGAACTATAAAATGAAATCTATCTCTCTTTTATTTTTATCGATAAAATAACATATTGTTCAGGCAGATGACCATCCTTAAGACTTTAATTGAGAGCTTCTTTCACGCTGAATTTTCAATTAATACGGTACGAAGAATGCTGCCATTAACGGGAGCAAAGGCTTAACCGAATGAACCTTTTATCAACATGTCTAAGAGTCCGCGCGGCGCTCAATTTATTGAATGGTTAATTTAATTTATTCGTCATTTGATTTTTGCGAGGCCCGGTTCGTCGCGCAGAAAGCTATGTTAAATCTCGTCGCGAAATAAAGTTGAGCTTCGCACATATTTGCATTCGTTGCGAGTCGCCGGCTCCAAAGGTTTCCCATTCACCGTGTCCAAAT